CATACATATATTAAATAGAAGGAATATTTATGTCAACCAAGTAAGCATATGTTAATAGAGGAACCAACCATAAAATGAAGGGAAAGCTGGTAGATTAGCCACAAAATGAAAGAACAAACTCATTTCAAGTCACAGTCCTGATAATCTAACTCTCAAGTATAAATGCTAGTTAATATTAAACAACATTTAGTCATTAGCTTTTGCTAAAACTTCAAGCCTTTGTTGGAAGTGATGAGTGGATTGGACGAACCATATTCAGGCTTAACAACACAGCATAATGATTTAAGAAACTCCCGGGAATACATTTTCCAAACTAACTTCCAAGTAGCTACAAATTTTTCCAAATGTTAACTAGAAATGCTACTTGGACATAGTGTGTCAAAGAGAATTGAGAAATCCTGAATCTAAGATAGCGCATTATACAAAATTAACTTTAAAAGAGTACTGAAAGTAAAATATAAACAACTGAAGATTCAGACGAAAATTTTTTAGATTAATAGGATTTTTTTTCATTTTTAAATTGGACTTTCTCAAATAGTACAATTTTTTGCTCTGAAAAATCTTGTAACAAGACTGAAAAGACAAGACAGACTTGAAGAAAAATATTAACAAATCACATACTCAATGAAAAGACATATATAAACTCTCAGTAAGAAAATGAGTTTTGACAAAGATGTAGAAACACTACAGTTTTTGTATATTACTGGTATGATTCAAACACTAAAAAAGTTTTCAAAGCCATTTTGAAAACTCTGACAATGTCATATACAATTATACTCAATAGTTACGTCTAGATAATTATACGAAAGAAAGGAAAACTTACATTCGGTCAAACACGTGCACGCAATGTGTGTAACAGCTCTCTTCGTAGACCCACTGCCACTGAGTGAATTCTGATGTGAAGTGAGTGACTTTATAGGAGAGGGTGGAGCTTGTCTTAGACTTTCCAGGCCTATGGAATCAGACTATCTCATCTTTCTTCCCTGAAGCACTCACCTTTTGGTCAGCAGAGAAATTCTTTAACCACTGTGCCTCCAGGGCTCTCTCCATAAAAATTCCAAAACAGAAACAGCTCAACTGCACTGGCTAAATACTAAAATTAAATAACACTGTCGTGCATAATTCAAGGAAATAGTACTGCTATTATTAGTTGTCATTTGGTTCTACCAGCTGCTCCATGGGAGGAAGATGAACAATCTCTTTCCATGTGATTTACAGCTTCTGAAAACCCAGTGGAGGGTCAGCTATGAGTTGTTTCCAACTTGATGGCAATGAGTTTTCATTTATAACAGAAGAAAATGTCACCTGGTCCTGATCATCTTCATGATTGTTTTACTGGGGTAGAAATGATGTGCAGAGGTCTCTAGCTTTATGAGGGGGAATCAGCGTCAACATTAACCCAAAGCTGATTCCTATAAGACAAAGGTCAGACATATACCTCTATCTTTCAACCTATTAACCAATTCTGACATCAACTATCTCTACAGTAGTGCACTTACTTCCTTGCTGGGTTTGTCATTACCTTGTGCTGGCCATAGAACTCAGTAGCCTAATTCAAGATTATAAGGCTTATTAGGAAAGTAACAGGTTGCAATTCGGGGTCAGAAAGAGTTTGAATCCAGTTCTTCCAGCAAAATCAGAAACTCTTCTCAGCTGTGCTCACAGGCAAATCTCCTTGGCCCTTGTGCTCTACCTCAGACTAGTTTCTGTGCTGTTCTGGCAAGTGAGATAAAGCTCTTTAGCTCAACACTACAAATACCCAGAAGCAAATAACTGCCAGTAAGCCATGGCCTGAAATCACCCTTCATGGTGACGGTGTGAGCCAGTAAACCTAACTTAGAAGCATCCTACTCCACCACCAAGCCTTTTGTCTGGGAAGTACTCAGCCTTTTCACTCCACAGACCACAAATCTCACCATATTTCAGTTCTTTAAGAGGGTCATAGTATATCATTCACTATTCATTTCCTGCCACTGTTTACTGCTGCTTCGCTCAGTAACTAATCTCTGCTTTTCTACTGCTCTTGTGTGCTCCGTCTGTCTTTCTCTTGGATTTAGGAAGTTCTCAGTACAGGGATCCTAGTTCCAAAGGACATACTCCATTCCTTGTTATTCCTCTTTTTAAGATAGTGAGATGCCTGCCCCTCTCCTGATTTTGGCATGGCTCTCTTCAAACTGAAGGGCATGGCAAAACAAAGGAAACCTGAAGAAAACCTCTAGTTAGGATTCCATACACCATAACAGAAGTCAAGAAATCAGAATCTGTGTTGCAGAGGGGAAATCTGCTGTTAAGGACTTCTCCAAAGTGCTAACAAGCAAGGATATCAGTTTAAAGACTAATGTACACCCGACCCAAGTCACAGTATTGTCAATTGCATCCTATTTGAAAGTTAGACACTGAATAAAGATGACAAAAGAATCCATACCTTTGGATTGTGGTGTTAGAGAAGATTAAGAAATACCACACAGGCTTCCAAAAAAAACCTAACAGGTCTGCTCTGGAGAAAGTGCAACTCAAGTACTCCTGATAGGTTACGATGGTGAGATTTCACCTCATAGACTTAAGCATGTTATCAGAAGGAGTCAGTCTTGAAAAAGGATATCATGCTGGGAAAACTGCAGGATCAAAGACAGGATGGCCCCCCCAACCAGGTAAGCTTAACACAGTTACTGTAACAATGGGCTTGAACACATTGGAAAGGGAAAGAAAGTAAGGATGAGGCAGGAGAGGGCAAAATTCAGATTTGTTGTTCACAGGGTTGCTATGAGTCATACTTAACTTGATGGCACATAACAACAACAATAATCGCCTCATAAGGGTGTGATACATATTATTTGTATAGTCCATTCCAATCCCTTGTAAGGGTCAGATTAAACAATTCACTGCTCTGTAACTGAGTTCCTGTTGTGGCTATTATGCAGTACCTTCCAATCTAAAGAGCTCACCTTTCAGCACTAATTTCATGAATATTTTATGTTCCTTAAGGTTTACATCCTCTAAAGTTTGAAATTAGATTGCCAAGTCTTATTCAGGCTATCTTAATATGGAATCTTTGCTAAGGAATGTCCAACATGGATGGCCATGGTGGTTCACAGAATTTCAGTTTACAAAGTGTTAACACAAGTCACCACAGTATAGGCAAATTGCCAGAAATATGTTGACACTGTATACTATAACTAAAAAGCAACTAGCTATGATACAATCCAACAACTT